CAAAAACTTTTCAGTCGGTGTATTGTCAAAATATGGATACATGATGCATCGACTTCTCAACTTATTTATAGTTTTGATTCTTCCAGAAAAATGAACGTTAGTCAACGATAAGAACATACAAACTGTTCACAAAAATGTCAATTTAATTGTGATATTGCGTTCTGTTACATCGACCAAAAACTCACTTTTACATCCATTTCTTCGTATTTCATTCTTTTATGCTAAATCATCTAAATATACTGTGAATGCCATCGTAATTTGTTACAATGTTGAGGAAATCAAACAAAAGCTAAAAATGCAAATATGTTATTTATTTCATGCATTTTGATTCGATGTAGTGGTGTTCATAAAAACAGCCAACCAAATAATAGTAGGGGTTGAATAAATAAAAATAGAATGAAAATACTGTATGTAAATGATGACTAAGTGCATCTCAGAAAGAATGAGTTGTACAACAGCTTTTGACTCTTCATGCAGTGCAAATACATGGAACAAAAATTTTTATTTTTCTCGAAGGGTCATATTTTCTGTTTCACAGAACCAGACAGTCATCTTTCGAGTTGTCTTTTTATTCATATGAATGATTGTTGTTAATCCAGAAATTGATGAGCTGCATTAATAAATACATGTTGGCACATTCATGTTTGTCTACTGCCTGACTGTATACGGATATACAGGAGAAAATGGTTGTTCTATGAAAAGTATAAGGGAGAAATCGCCTAGCATCTCTTCTGAGAATAATAACAATAGGTTGAGTATTGAGTACGTTTCCTTGACTGAGTGTTAGGTTACCAAGAATCACATTTATCTGCAGATCTGAGAAGAAAAGTTCCTAGAGTGCCTGTGAGAGGAAGTGTCGCACAATTTATGGTTGGCATGTTAATATTACTGTTACGGTTGCAAAATATCTTTTTATTGTAATAATGGTGTGTGTAATGGCGCCCCATTTTCCCATTGCGCTGAGAGCCAATAACCACAATCGGTTTAATGGACCAGAAAAATGTTTTTTTAGATTGGTTGGTATAAAAAGATAAATAAATGACTTTTGTTAACAAAAGATGTGATATGGTGTATTGAGGTGTAACTGAAGTTGCAAACAAATTTATTTTTTACTAGCTGTGTGCTTTTTCTGTATCTAAAATGGAAAATACCTCTTAAATAACATTTTTTTCTTTAATGTGTTTGGATCTTTTAGCAGAGATTATTGGATTAGTTTTTGGCAAGCAATCACGTAATTTTAGTATTATTTGTAAATGATTGGAGATGTCAAAGAAAAAATGAATTGAATAGCAATTTATAGCTCTGTCTAAGTCAAAAAGTGAAAAGTTTTTTTAATTTTTCCAAACTAATCAATCAGCTTCTGAGTTGCCTTTTCTCAATATGATGATTTAACATGTTTAAATTTGATAATGAGAAAACAGTCCTACAATCCGTCTCATTCAATCACCATTCCATTACAAACGCAATGGCATAGACCAACCTTCATCTGATAAAAGAGTCAGAGCGCCAACTGTAAGTATTCTATTGTAATCAATTACTGTGTTACATTTGTTTGTTGTGCAATAAAATAGAGCCAACCCACGCTCATATTGCTTCTACAATTCGGCTCAACACAAAAACTTGTTATTCGCCCATTTGATTAATTGAGAATATTGGGTTACCATTAAAACTAATGAGCAATAAGTGAATATAGTTCAACTCAATTTAATATTAGAATTAATTAATTCTTTTCTTAATAAGACTAATGTTCAAAGCATAGAAGGACGAGACAGATTCCAATCCATGTTGTTTAATTTGTACGGCTATGTTGAGGCAAGTCTCAAATACATACTGGTCTTCAAAAATGAACAAGATAAAGATTTTTTGATCTTCGAAAACCCGGCAGATATAGGAATGCCTGACCTGTTGAATGCACACGAAAAAGAGAAAATGATTCAATCATTACCGCATGAGATCAGAAGCACACGTTTCCCTGATAGAGATACGGTCAATACACGCTTTGACTATGATGATAGGTACTATCATAGTCACATTGCTGGTATCAAGAGGATCAGCTATGGAACATACCATGATGTGATTAAAGAAAACCCAGACATCGAGTTTGAAGTTATTAATGTATCAATATCCGTTTTATAGTATCAAAGAATCATGAAATTGTCGCAAAAGAGAGGTTATGACAAAGATGTACCTACCTTTGATACAGATGAAATTTGTGCACTCGTGAAGTATTTATCATTATTTGATGAATATGGGAGAAGAGCGATTGCATGTGCAGTGTGCGTGCATTTGTTGAATAATCCTGAGCTGCTCCAGAAAATGAAAAATTATAAGAACGATCCTAATAACGGCCAGTATAACGAGTCAACTATGCTTCTCTCCAAATATATATTTGGATCAAACAATACTGCGACACAGCTTAGAAAAACGATCAAGTCATACTTAGGACTTTCGTTGGTGGATGGAAGCAAATCTTGGGCAAGCATAAGTGGAAAATCGAAATTTTATGGTTACCATTATCGAACCGTTAATTCACACAAGTTTACATTAGCCTTCTTGTTTGATAAGCTAGACATGAATTACGAATGGTTGCTGAATAACAAGGAGATTTTAGATAGTGAATTTAATGTTAGTAATAGTGATTCGCCATATACTGTAAGTATAGACGGCTTAATATCACATGATTATATCGAAAATGAGACACTTAAGCGTACTCTAGAGGCAGTTACAACCAGCAAATTTCTTACAGGAACAAATGTGGATAGCTTAACTTTGGAATTTAGTGATATCCACACTAATGTTGATTTATCATTTCTTAATAACATAAAAGCTCCAGTAACTGTAATATGCAATCGTTGTTCGTACACTTTTATACAATCAATACCAAAACATGTTAAAGTTGTTGTTTTTATCACAAAAAACATACCGGATTATGCATTCAATAACATTGTTAAAAATGTTGTGAAACTTAAATTTCAATCATTGGAGATCCGTGAAAATGTAGTGTTTCCTGATCACGTAGAAAGTATTGAAATTGATAACTGTAATGCTCATAAAGACGTGACACTGATGATTAACGAAAAATGTGAGCACGTTAAAATAAGTAACACCCCAGTTAAGATTGTACTACCATGTGTTATGGGATCAGGTATAATGTTGAAACACTTATGCTTTGAATACAATGTGGATAAAGAACAAAAATCACTAAAGTTACAGGTAGCCGACATTAATAGTACAGTAAAAATCGATGCAACCATAGATGCTGTAAGATTTGAAGATGTAAACGTGTCTGCAGGATCATGTGTTATATTTAGTGAAGAGAACAAGAATTTGAAAATATTACAGTCAACTGGTATGTTTAATCTGAAACAGTTTATAGGGATTGAACAGTGTTTTAATAAGGGAATGAAAATAGAAGTTACGCCTATAATCCATTCTACACATAACCTATCAAAAATAGCGTTATATGATTTTCGGTTTGTGAAAAGAGTAGAACTACCGAATAAATATGAAGAAGTTGAATTAGACCATGTACTTACGGATGAGAACGTAGAGATAGTCCTAAACAAAGCTTGCAAAAAACTGGTAATTCGTGGATGTAGAGTTGTGATCAATGCACAAAATGTTGATGAGCTTGATAGCTTATGCATACAATTTTGTGCACTTGAGAAAAGCAACATTGTGTTTGTTGGCCTGAAACGAGTCAACCACATTTCTCTTATTGATATCTGTCACAGTATGGATGTAATCACAACCATTCTAGCTGGTCTTGAGGAAGTAAAGCACCTAGAATTCGAAAGTAAATATCCTAGGATGATGAGTAAAGTATTTGGAGAACACAACAAAGAATTGTTGATGAACATCGTATCGACCGAGAATTACATAAATGATCTGAATTTTGAACTTAGATATTCAGCAATCAAGGACAAAGAACCGGTCTTATTCCTCTTCGAGATGTCGAATATCATGGTTAATCTTATTCTCAAAGCAGTGTTGAGCGAAAAAGTGATGAATACTGTTTCCAAGCTAGAGTTCACGTCTGTTGCTATCGATGCTGATAATTGCAAATCACTTGGAAAGTGGTCAAACCTCGAAATTCTTCGAATATGCCCCGAAATCATCACCAACGAATTTTTTTATAACCTGCCGATGAATCTCAAGCTACTGAACATTACTGACCTGG